CCCCCCCCCCCCCCGCGCTTCCTCATGTATTATTGAATATTTCACAACGACACAAGAATCTTTCTTAATTATTCAAAGCTTATGAGATTAAACTCTGCTATTTGTTTGATTTGACGAATATTTGACTCGGCGAGCTTATATAATCGCTATTAAAGTTACTATTACAAGATGTCAGTATCTCAAGAATACAACAGACTTGCCAAATCACTTGTTTGGAGTGACCAAGAGTTTAGCTTAGTCGACTTTGTCAAACGGTACGAGCTACCCCAAGTTGTGTTAGTCCTAGTCGGTTATTGTGGTGTTAATGAACGGACCACTTTCGGTAGTGGTCAAATTCTGACTCTACATACTTTGCGTACGACCAGTAAAATAGTATGCCAAGTTCCTCGTAGTAATGCAGTGGTGGTTCATACAAGTTGCCCGCTTAAAGCTGAGGTGATACCTATGGACTGTAGGGACACGATAGTGACCGCTCATCAATTGTCAACAACATACCAGAAAATCAAATACGTTCGAGTTATGGAAGTTGGCTCCACTTGGAATAATAATTCGTTAGATACTTTAAAAATGAACGATATCCTACAGATTAAAAAAATCGACACCGAAAACTTCGTGATACTATGTAAAAACCTCACAACTGCACAGGATGTGTCGATTCTACTTTATTCCACTGCCGTATTTGTGCCATTGTTGGACTCAAAAACCTACAACTTGGCTGAGATTCAGAAAAAATTCGGACTCCCGGCTAAGGTTCGCTTTTTGGATAAAAGGGCAGAAATTCAAATGCGTTCAGTACCTGGAAAGAGAAATGCTCCGAGGTCTTCGACTTATTTGTCAGATTTGGGTCAGATGATAGCCATTGAAGAAATACAAGAAAGAGACGTAATTGTTACGACTGTGTGTTCCAACCTTGAAGAGAAGGTAAGTGTATTTAGTATTTTGTTCAAACTAAACTAACTTTATTTAGTCCCAGTAAGGATAATATTATTGGTCCAGTGTTACTACAGAAAGAAACGGAAAATAAACAAACTTTATTTACACTGGATAGCTCTATAAGTTCTGAACACGTCTCCCTAGAGGTCCAGTGAGGACACCCCTAAAGGCAATTTCCTGAAAGATCATTGAAATATCCTGGCGAGATTGTACAAGATCATGGTACAATAATTTCGAGACCTTTGTGAAATGTTGGCACGATCATGGCAAGGTCTTGGTAACATTGTAAATAATATCATGGTACAATCATTGCGAGATCTTGATGAATTCTTGGCAGGATCATGGCAATATCTCGGCAGCATTGTAATAATATCATGGTACGATCATTGCGAGATCTTGGTGAAATCTTGGCAGGACCTGGCAAGATCTCGGCAAGATTGTAATAAGATCATGGTACAATCATTGCGCGATCTTGGTGAAATCTTGGCGAGATCTGGCAAGATCTGGGCAAGATTTTAACAAGATAATGACAACGTCGTCACAACAATTATTGCAAGATCTTGGTGCGTGACATCTTGGCAGGATCATGGCAAGTTTTGGTCAACCATCTTGAGAGAAATGTGTTCAAATACTATTACACTGCTCGAAGATCTTGGGAAGAGATTAGTAAGATCATGGCAAAAATTTCAACTTGGTTACCACAGGAGGAATTCAAACTTAATAAACTTTATTTATAATTGGTCAAGTAGGAAACAATGCTATGGCTGCTTAAAGTAAGGGGTGGGTTATCAAACCTATTGGTACTTTGATGCCAGTGGCGTAGCCAGGATTTCTGGCCAAGGGGAGGGGGCAAAAAAATCAGGGGGGGGGGCACTTCAAACAAGATGAAAACAGAAACTGAGAAGGAAACAAAGTACGTACACATTGGCGCACCCAATTAGTTTTGTTTAATTGTAAATTGAATGAAAGGTATAACAATTTCACAATCAGCCACTCAGCGACACATTAACCAGTGCCGTAGGAAGCTCTTTTTGATTGGGGGAGCAGGTCTGCATAATTTTGAAAAAAGAATGATTATTAGCAACGAAAAAAGAATGATTATTACCTACGACGGGAGATTTGAGATTTCCAAACACAGATAAATTTGAGCGTAGAAATTTAGCGCGCGTGTTTTAACCAAGAAAAAAGGAAAAAGCCCTCGGTTGGTGTTTCAACCATGCAGTCCAACTTTGAATTTTGCCAGGGGGGACAATAATTTTGCCTGGGGGGCGGACCCCGGACCCCCTCCAGCTACGTCACTGTTTGATGCACGATTGGGTGAACCAGACTTTATTTTAAAAGGATTAATTTTAATAATTTAGTCTAGTAGTTTTAGTCTATTCATCTCTTAGATAGAACTTTCGATTCCCACTAATTAGCTATGTAAAAATCTGTAAACATACCTATTACATTTTTTTGGCACACCCTGTATATTTCACTAAATTTTAATCATTCTACCATTTCTACCATTCTACCAGCTATGCCTGAATGTTCCAACGACACTGGACATCACAATAACAGTGGCTGAGGGATTTCTACGGGGTGATGAAACCTACCAAAGAGTTGTTAAAACCCTAGACAAACAACTCAACCGCACAAATCTCAGAGCTTTCGACAACTTGGACGTCTACGAACATATAGACGCGGTCAAAAAGACAATGGAGGAAATGGTATTTGTTGAAGAAGCTTCAACGGAAATCGTGGAACGTGCTCGCGAACATCTGCAACGTGTTGAACGTAAAAAGCCTAAGAAATGGTCCTCGTTTGAAAGGCCACCAAATCATCCGCCCAGGCAACAAGAAAGTGCAAAACAAAAGGTAACTAGAGATCACTCGGAGATGCAAACCTCCGCCAGCGAATTATGTTATGTATCATGAATAAATTATACAATGGGCCAATCACGTATTCAGTTTATTTTACAAGACAAACGTTTGCTAATTTCTCATGCAATTTTCAGTCTTGTAAATATAAGATAGTATTAAATATAGCCATATCCTTTAACCAACCAACCAACCAACCAACCAACCAACCAACCAACCAACCAACCAACCAACCAACCAACCAACCAACCAACCAACCAACCAACCAACCAAGAAACTGCATTAACTAATTATAAAATAACTACCAAGCATTTTGCAAATATTGTTAATATGCATGTTTGTTTGAGGAAATTGGTTAGTTGGTTATCGTATATACTGTATATTGTAAATGGTAAATTGTAGGAAAACTAGTTAAAAATGTTGGCTCTTAACGAAAATTACTTACAGTATATCATCTAATGAAATACTATACGCTTTCAGCTTTCTATTATTTATTTTTGCAAGGCAACTCCTGAACGACTGGCAAAAGCAGGACAGAAACCAGACTCCAAACAAAACAAAACTGATAAGAAAACGAAGAATATAAAATCGAAGTCCCCATACAGCACTCTGGAATGGAAACAAAGCAGTAACAAGACTCCCTCAAATGAAAGCCTCTCAAGAGGACACAAGTATGAAAAGCCCATTGAGCGACCAGAGGAAAATTATGATCGCATTGATCACATCTATGAAGAAACGGGATCTCAAAATTCAGATTCTGATCATGAGGATAATAACTACACAAAGTTGGATACCACATACACAACAGTAAACCCACGACTTTATGAAAAATATATAACAGAGGCACCTAAAGTCAAAGAGGTAAGTTCACTAACACTACCATCAAAATTAATAACTTCTTGAGTGTGAATGTTAGCTAAGCACGTTTTATCCCCTCATTCACATTTTATCCCCTAATCCGCATTGTATCCCCTATTATTCACAGGCAAATTTCGGAAGGAATTAGAGAGGCCACTAATAACCAATTTCTCTCTTGGCAATATTTTTTTCCTACCGATCACCAGAAACCTTAAGAACCTCTTCTGACATACCAACACCACAGAACACCACAGCAGATTTGTGGTGGTCACACCACCATTGGCTTCACCTAATCTCTGCAGTCTAGACAGAAATCTCTATACTTACTGAATAATATTATTTCTACACACAGACTACCACCCTACCATCAATACAGAGCATTCCCCTACCATCAACACCACAGACCACCAAACCACCATTACCAATCAAGCCACCACCCCAAACTCAAGAAGACAAGCAAGCAATCTATGAAGCAATTTCTCGATTTCCTCAAGACCTATCAGGCCTAGGTGTCGCAGACGTTAGTAGACTGCTTGGGTATTTAAATTTGAGTGACTACGTGCAGACATTTGAAAATGAATTGATTGATGGAACGATGTTGGTCAGCATGGACCAAGAATCGTTAGAGTCGTTGGGCGTGAAACAATTTCATTGCAAGAAAGTGTTGGACTTTATCGGTGGTTGGCGTCCGAGAGCTTAATGTATAAAAATATGAATTTTATCTTGGAGTTGTTGGACAATCTGTTTCATTTTGCTTATTCTCATTGCCATTCAATAACTTGCCACTACCTTTGAGTTTTGAGGAGAGCATGAAGTACAGTAATACAAAAAAGGCTTTATTTATTGATTTATTTTGGTGTTATATAAAACAAATAAGTGAATGTTTTCATTCGTGCCATAGTAAAATATTTTCATTCGGTGAAAGAAGAATTTTCCATTCCACTCGGCTGTCCCCTCGTGAATGGGAAATTCCAGCTTTCACCTGATACCTCATGAAATATTTTACCAATGCACTCACAAACATTCATTATTTGTATGCTGTCACAGTCACACAGTTTGCTTTCGATCAAAGAGATCCCGACAGTGCAAACTACAATAGCCTGTACAACGTATGTGTACGTCACATGTGTGCACTGGTAAATCATACATTTCGAAGTAGAATCATCGTGAAGTGAAGATCATCGATCAGACTCTCGCGACGTATACAAAACGCAAACAGTACGAAATTTCACACTCAATTTTGCAAATGTTTTTGAACAAGGGTTTATTGGAAATCGCACAGCATGGCTTCGTTGCATGTCATTGAATAATTTCACGACGACACAGGAATCTTTCTTGATTATTCTGTGCTATATTTGTTTGATCTGACGAATTTTTAACTCGGTGTGCATGCGGTTTAAATCCGCTATATTAAAGTTAAAAGACCATTATAACAAGATGTCAGTATCTCAAGAGTACAAGCTTGCCAAATCACTTGTTTGGAGTGACCAAGAGTTTAGCTTAGCCGACTTTGTCAAACGGTACGAGCTACCCCAAGTTGTATTAGTCCTAGTCGGTTATTGTGGTGTTAATGAACGGACGACTTTCGGTAGCGGTCAAATTCTGACTCTACATACTTTGCGTACAACCAGTAAAATAGTATGCCAGGTTCCTCATGGTAATGCAGTGGTGGTTCCTACAAGCTGTCCGCTTAAAACTGAGGTGATACCTATGGACTGTAGGGACACGAAAGTGACCGCTTATCAATTGTCTACAACATACCAGAAAATCAAGTACGTTAGAGTTATGGAAATTGGCTCAACTTGGAATAATAATTCGTTAGATACTTTAAAAATCAACGATATCCTCCAGATTAAAAAAATCGACACCGAAAACGTCGTGATACGATGTAAAAACCTCACAACTGCACAAGATATGGCGATTCTATTTTATTCCACTGCCGTCTTTGTGCCATTGTTGGACTCAAATACCTACAACTTGGCTGAGATTCAGAACAAATTCGGACTGCCAGCTAAGGTTCGCTTTTTGAATAAAAAAGCAGAAATTCAAATGCATTCAGTACCTGGAAAGAGAAACCCTCCGAGGTCTTCAACATATTTGTCAGATTTGGGTCAGATGATAGCCATTGAAGAAATACATGAAAGGGACGTAATTGTTACGACTGTGTGTTCCAACCTTGAAGAGAAGGTAGGTGCATATTTACTGTTTTGTTCTAACTAAACTAACTTTATTTTGGCCCAACAAGGATAATATTATTATTCCAGTGTTACAACAGAAAGAAACGGAAAATAAACTTTATAATTTATTTATACTGGATAACTGTATAAGTTCTGAACACTTCTCCCTGGAGGTCTGGTAAATATACAGTACTCCTAAAGGCCATTTCATTGAAAGATCATTAAAGATCCTGGCAACATTGCAAATAAGATCATGGTACAATCATTGCGAGATCTTGGGGAAATCTTGGCCGGACCTGGCAAGATCTTGGCAACATTGTAATAAGATCATGATACAATCATTGCGGGATCTTGGTGAAATCCTGGCAGGATCATGGCAAAATCTTGACAAGATTGTAGGGACCTTTAGCGTGTAGGACGGCAACGCGACGACGATAGCCAAAATAAAATCCTTGAAATAAATAATTTTATGGAAAACTTGTCGTGTAATATCATTCGTTATACGAAGTTAACACAGTTTTAGGAGGTTAAGACGGAGGTTCGCATTTAAGAAGACTTCTACTAAGCCAGTTTGCCGAGTACCACTTCTCGCGCGTTGTATACAACTTTATTTATACTTAGAACTTTGTTTATACTTGACCTAGAACCAATGAAAAACCAAATGTAGCTCTTTAAAGGAAGTGGTCATCAAGCCTAGTGATACTTTACAGAACTAATGCATGCATGATTTCAATGGTCCATTGCACGAATCAGACTTTATTTTAAAACACAGCCATAACAATGGTTCTACTAGACCGATTTTAATAATCATATTGTGAAAATTAATCTCTTCGATTACATTTTCGATTCCCATTCCTACTCACCCAGGAAAAATTGCCGCGGAAAGAAAATTTTGAAAAATGTGTTAAGCCGACGCAAATTTTCCGTCGGAAAAAATTTTGTTGAAGTTGAAAATTTTCAATTTTTAACAATGATATTTTCGGAACATTTTCTGTCCGAAATGGGCCTTGAGTGGAAATGGGCCTTAATAATTAGCTGTGTAAAACTCTGGAACGTACCTATTGCATTTTTTTTGCACATCCTTTATATTTTATCAAATTTCAATCATTCTACCATTTTAAGGTATGCCTGAATGTTCCAACGACACTCGACATCATAATAACAGTGGCCGAGGGATTTCTACGGGGTGAAGAAACCTACCAAAGAGTTGTCAAAACCCTAGACAAACAATTAAACCGCACAAATCGCAAAGCTTTCGACGACTTGGACGTCTACGAACATATGGACGCGGTCAAAAAGACAATGGAGGAAATGGTATTTGTTGAAGACACTTCAACGGAAGTCGTGGAACGTGCTCGGGAACATTTGCAACATGTTGAACGTAAAAAGCCTAAGAAATTGTCCTCGTTTGAAAGGCCACCAAATCATCCGTCCAGGCGACTAGAAAGTGCAAAACAAAAGGTAACTAGAGGTCACTCAGAGATTGCATACCTCCGCCAGCGAATATGTATCATGAATAAATTATACAATGGGTCAATTACGTATTCAGTTTACTTCACCAGACAAGCGTTTGCTAATTTCTCATGGAATTTTCAGTCTTGTAAATATAGGATAGTATTTATTTATAGCCATATCCTTTAACCAACCAACCAACCAACCAACCAACCAACCAACCAACCAACCAACCAACCAACCAACCAACCAACCAACCAACCAACCAACCAACCAACCAACCAACCAACCAACCAACCAACCAACCAACCAACCAACCAACCAACCAACCAACCAACCAACCAACCAAACAACCAACCAACCAACCAACCAACCAACCAACCAACCAACCAACCAACCAACCAACCAACCAACCAACCAACCAACCAACCAACCAACCAACCCACCAACCCACCAACCAACCAACCAACCAACCAACCAACCAATCGATCAACAATCAATCAATGATGTAATCTATCTATAAGTCAGGCAATGGATGGTTGAGGTATATGATGTGTTTCTAGTAGAAATTTGGTAAGATGCCCAAAAATCCTGATATTTTACCCATAAACCTTATCATGGCATCACCTTATTATACATACATGAACTTGTGGTTAGAGCTCGACAACTAGACTCTGGAGCTCAGTTGGTTAGAGCACTGCACCGGAATCACAGGGCCGCAGGTTCAATTCCTGTAGAGGGCCCTATAGCTGTACTTTTCCATCTACAAATTAAAACCCTTCAACTTTGGCAGATAAGGTCTATATAACAGTTCACTCAGTCATTCTTTTTCTGCAGGGGTTAACTGTAACTTGCGCTCTAGCAAGAGCCAAGACAAACGTTCAAAAAATGGATGAGTTTCATGAGCCATTATATTGGGCATCATTCAATGTTTACGGTCGAGATAGCATGTTTGATCTGGAGGAACTACGACGCAGCGTTGCTGAGGAATCGTTTGTTAAAGCACAGAAAATGGCCGTGGAAAGATTCGGATTGGTTCATCGCAATAAAGGTAATATGCGTGGAGTAGATATCCTATAAGGATTCGTTCTTATTGGTCCTCTTGGAGGAATAGTTTAGAAATAATAGAGCTGTTCAGTATAATAAAAGTTACTTTTGTTCAGGTTTCCTCCTGTAGTAACACTGGATCAATAGGAGATGATCCTTACTGCACCTCCAGGAAGAACAGTTTAGAACTGATAGAGTTACCAATAAGAGATGATCCTTACTGGATCTCTTGGGAGAACAGTTTAGACTTGATAGAACTATTTAGTATAAATAAAGTTTATTTTAGCAACAAAACTTACTGTTTTGTTTTAGAAAGTTCCGATGGTGTTTTATCTCAACATCTGATGGAAGCTGTCATTGAATTTCTACATCATCATCATCTGCGTCCTGACTTGCTGCCAATATTACTACAAGTGGTAAATTACGAAACATTTATTATCGTGTCGATTAATTATACTTAGACTTTCTCTTCTATGTAAAACATGCCTTCAGACTAACCTTTTTGTACTGTAAACCTCAGGCAATTCTGAAGTATTATCGCTTGCAGGAAACCTAAACTAAACTAACTTTATTTATACTGCACAGCTCTATCAATTCTAAACTGTTCTTCCTAGAGATCCAACAAAGATAACCTCTTATTTATCCAGTGTTACTACAGGAGGAAACCTAAACTAAACTAACTTTATTTATACTGGATAGCTCTACCAGTTCTAAACTGTTCTCCCTAGAGGTCCAGTAAGAATCATCACTTATTGATCCAGTGTTACTACAGGAAGAAACCTAAAACTAAACTTATGTATACTGGATAGCTCTATCAGTTCGAAACTATTTTTCCTAGAGGTCCAAACAGGTCATCTCTTATTGATTCAGTGTTACTACAGGAGGAAACATACACTAAAATTTATTTATACTGGATAACTTTATCAGTCCTAAACTGATCTTTCACACTTTTCCCAAAGATAACCTACTGTGTTTGGTAGAATCAAACTGGAAGCACTCTTCTCACCTGCAGAAACCAAACATGGAAATGAGCTGTGCTACCGACGCCTCATTCCTTTCATATTTTCTTCATAAATTTAGACCCAGGAAGCACTAACCATCCTGCAAACGCCGCCATCAAACAAAGTCGACGCAACTATCTTACCTTATCGCGAGATTACTCCGTCTTGGGTGCCTCTGATCCGGAATGCTGAGCAATTCTTGCTTTCTGTTGGATTTCTGATCAAAACGACGAGCTCAAGACAGACCATACTTGTCTATCCACACTGGAATCGGAATGATTGCCTGGCAAAAGTAGAATCGCTTCTTCAGTCTGTTTTGAGTAAGTATCGGGGTATGGTCTGAGAACTTTCAAATGTTATGCAAAGCATAGTGCCCATCCAGTCATGATTCATTGATCAGAATGTTCCACTGTCTTTTCATTGTTTTGAAAATCCCACTGTTCTCCATGCCATCCAGTCATGATCCAGTGATCAAAATGTTCCATTGTCTTTTCATTGTTTCGAAAATCCCACTGTTCTTCATGCCATCCAGTCATGATTCAGTGATCAGAATGTTCCATTGTCTTTTCATTTTTGAAAATCCCACTGTTCTCCATGCCATTCAGTCACGATCCAGGGATCGGAATGTTCCACTGTTTTTTTTCATTGTTTTGAAAATCCCACTGTTCTCCATGCCATCCAGCATGGATCCAGTGATCAAAATGTTCCATTGTCTTTTCATTGTTTTGAAAATCCCACTGTTCTCCAGTTGCTGGTTAGTTAAATCTACCTATCAGCATTGAATAAGACATGAATAACTATGTTCAGTGTGACATTAACACTTCAAATATTTTATAATCTACAGACGTCCTTACCTACTGTCCTGTTCTCGCTGATGCGTTGCGAGCTGTTCTTTCACAAGAGGAAAAGAGTTTACTTGTACTATTTCGAGATGTGGTAAGCGAATATTTAACTGAAATATTCTTGGTTTAACTCAAATATTCATGACTTGACGTATTGCATATAGGAACGCTATATACAGCCATATTGCATGGAGGAACGCTAACAAAAGATTATCATTAGCAGCTATTGTATTTGGATTTTGGAGCGTGTTTTCTTCTAACATGGCCGCCGTATCTTTGTCTCGTAAATTTTAAAGGATTGAATGCAAACCACCAATATTTGCTTCAATTGTCCGTGAGAAGACTGCTTCCAGCTTGACTCTACCAAACATTGCAAAGATAGGGTACTCAGGTTTTCTCCTGGACTAACATGAGATGGCTCTTACTGGAGCTCCAAGAAGAACGATCTAAAATTGATCGACTGTATACAACTATAGTTTATTGTAGGCTAGGGGTGGCAAAAATAGGCTAGCACGCGAGCACTGCTCGCAGGAAATGTTAAACAGCTGCAGAGAATTTGAAGGAAACCTTAATTTAACATCCTCATGTCTCACTATGGGCTCAACAACATATGGTTGACATTATTCCTTGAATTTAAAACCATGCTCAGCTAGAACACTATATGTTTATGCACATGCAGACTCAGCACAAAAATACTCCGTTGGTCTGCAGGAAATTTTTGTCTCCAGGTTGTTGTGCTCCCAGGAAGAACATTTTTTCCTGCCCTGTTGTAGGCCTCCTCTTGTTTGGGAGAACAGTTTAGAACAGATTGAACTATCCAGTACAAATAAAGTTAATTTATTTCATGGGCAGAACAAAGAGGAAATCAAGGTTTGTTTTTAACATTCTTAGCTTCAGGAAAGGTTGTCATCTCCATACGAGGTCGTGGAAATACGCCATACCACGCTACTGCGAATGTTTTGGCTTAAACGAAGTACTCAGCGACTGATGGTTCAGTTGAACTTCCGGCGAATGGGAGACGTACTTGAGTTTGGGAATAGCAAAGACGACAGAGATGCCGTCGAATCATGTTTGAAGATTTTTACTCTTCTTACAGGTAGCGCTTCCATCTATGTGCGTTGTAGGATTACCAACATTGTCTCGTAACCGTCCGCCATGTTCTAAGCCAGTGCGCTAGGGAGGGGCAGTCTGGCTTAGAGTCTTAGACCCTTTGAGTGCCTCTCGAAGCGCACTGGCTAGGTACATGGCGAGTGTTTTGCGATTGCAAGTTTGCAACTACACACGTAAAAACGCACAAGTTGTAACAAACCTGCAGTAGACTTGTGGCAATGCTGTTCCAACAATTTGTCAACAGGATGTGTTCGCACTGCTTGTTCCCAGCAGTTTGACAAGTTGTCAACGGCTTGTTGACAACTTACTACAAGATTTTTGAGCTTGACAAGAATTGTTAAAAGTTGCTCCAACAACTTGTTATCGACGCGAAATTCAACAATTTGTCAACACGTTGTGAGTGACAAGCTTGTAGCAACTTGATAAAATAACAGCATTGTTACAACTTGTTGACAAGCTTGCTACAAGCATGTTATGAACACATCTTGTTGACAAGTTGTGAGTGACAACCTTGTAGCAACTTAATAAAATAACAGCATTGTTACAACTTGTTGACAAGCTTGCTACAAGCCTGCTACGAACACATCTTGTTGACAAGTTGTGAGTGACAAGCTTGTTGCAACTTGATAAAATGACAACATTGTTACAACTTGTTGACACGCTTGCTGCAAGCCTGTTGTGAACACATCTTGTTGACAAGTTGTGAGATTTTTACGTGTGTACATGGCAGCGGTTACGGGGTTTTTTTGAAGCGAATTTGATCAAATATCTACATGTAAATATGGGGTTTAGAAATCTAAAAACATCAGTAATGGAAGGTGGCGTAGTGCTTATATTTATAATTAATATAACTTTGCCAAAGAACATGGTACATGACATACACACGTAAAAACGCACAAGTTGTAACAAACCTGCAACAGACTTGTAGCAATGCTGTTCCAACAACTTGTCAACAGGATGTGTTCGCACTGCTTGTTCCCAGCTTGTTGGCAAGTTGTCAACGGCTTGTTGGCAACTTGCTACAAGGTTGTTGGGCTCAACAGACTTGTTACAAGTTGTTCCAACAACCTTATATCGTCCTGCAATTCAACAATTTGTCTATAGCAACTTGATAAAATAACAGCATTGTTACAACTTGTTGACAAGCTTGCTACAAGCCTGTTGCGAATACATGATCTTGTTGACAAGTTGTGAGATATTTACATGCACAAACTATATAAAAACAGAAGGCAGGTACACGGTACAGCTTTCAAATGTTTTATTTATACTTTTACTTCAGGATTTGAAACGTCTTCACAAATTCAACCGCACCCAATGTTGTCGAAGGTAATTTACTGCAAAGTAAAAAACAAATTCCGAAAAGACATCTTGAGAATACAATATATGATTCAAAACAATATGCAGGTTGAGACTGTAAATTTTCGACTTTATTTCAAAGTCACCTCAACCTGTGTCTTGTTTTGAATCATATATCGCATTCTCAAGATGTCTTGCCTCTTCGCAATTTGTTTTTTACTTTATTTTTTTAAATTGTCGGCTGGTCATGGTAATTTACTGCGGTTGTATAATTTCTCGCGTATAGTTACTGATGCTCATATATTGTATATGTGTTTCTATAACCAACATATCGAGCTGGTTAACTTATGGCGTTATATTTAATTCAAGGCAAATCTTGGTGGATCGTGGATGAGTTCTCGAGTAAGCGATGAGGAAAATACAGCAAGATATTTTGTGGCACAAAGGTAGCGTATAGCACTTGGGATTAACCTCGCAAAAATCGTGGTTAATGCGCACTAGAGCTGGAAAATGATCGAAGGCCAAATTGTCATCTACATAACCCTTTGATCGCGATATTTACCCAGAGCAGGAAAATGTTTAAGGCGGCTCGGTACAGTTTTTAAAAAACATGTAAAATTCAGGATTTAGATCATCCGTATTTTTGGGCAATTATTACTTGTTGAAAAACAAAAAGGATCTTATTGACGAAAAAAAAACAACACCAAATGGGTTCCGTTGCTATAAATGATGGCAACAATGACGTTTCAAGATGGTGGAAATTTTGGCTCGAAAACGACATCAGTGACCCCCAAATTTTATTCCATAAAATGATTTCTTTTAGTATACTAAATTATTTTCAAAAAAATTCTGTTGGGCTAAAAAACTATTATGAATAATCACAATTACGTAATTCGTAATTGTTTTACATCAGTAATAATTCTCAAAAAATACAAACAATTTTTCCAGTTCTGCATGTGTTAACAATTTCTTATATCTTACTGTTTTTTTCAGCATGGATTCGATCGATGCAAAATACAAGTTAGCAATGAATGATCTCAGAAAATGGCATAAAGATGTTTTCCTCACACAGGTGAACAAGCTAGACTATTGTCTATATACCGGCAAACCGAGAGACTTGTTACAAAGCTAGTCATGCCATCTTTTGGCCTCTAACTCAACCCCCGCCCCAAAGGAAGACTGCTCGCGATGGCCCTGCTCGTATCCAGGCTCTTCGGTTTGAAAGTAGGCAGTACCCCTTATGTGTTTAGCGGCAAATATATGTAATGGAAATATTTTTGTGTCAAAACATTTGAATCTGACCGTTCGCATGTGTTAATTCAGGACCTTTCTATATATGCAGGCAAAAATTGCAGAAACAAAGAAACAGAAAGCAAAGTTGGGCCAAGCCAAAACTGTCTCCGTACCGAACAAGCCAACGGAAACAGCAAAACTTCCACAGATCTGCAAGCCAGCTAAAAGACAACCTCTTGATCTCATTGAACTGGGAGAAAAAATCACGAAAGTGAAAGTAAAAAGCGGTGCAGGGCCATCCTCTATCCGTGTGCCAGTCGAAAAAGAACATCCATTGCCTTTGGTAGGCTGCATGGTGAAACGACACGAGGCCACAAAGAATTTATATCACTGTTTGGGTGATATGAGGGGCAAGAAACGTGAAGAAACGCGAAAACTACTTTCTTTGTAAAATACAGTTTGAAATATAGTTGTATAAACTAAAATAACTTTAATAAATAAAATAACTGGGATTTTTGAACGTAATATAGGTAATTATTTCAATAGTAAAGGTAATCCCTTATTGATCCAGTGTTACTACAGGAGGAAACCTTAACTCCACAGTGACGTATAGCAAAGGAGGGGGTCGCTTGGTGAAATTGTGGGTCCATTTCCTGGGATGTAAATTTTAAATTTTGCTTTGTGCTAAATGTTCAGGATTGGTTTGTGATTAAGTAAAGTTCTTACATGTAAATGATTCTTGTATTTTCACTGTAATGTAATTTTTTCCTTAAAGATTCAAACTATATCTCTGTTTCAACTCATCATATGTTCGACCAATTCTGATTTCCTCTACGTATATTCAGCTTTTGACAAACACCGGATGCAATTTTTTCCCTTAAACTGATTCAAGTTATCTGTTTAAACAGGAAAAAACCGCGCAAATACACTCACACAATATGAGATTAGAAATATAAACTATACAATATGTACAAAAAAAAAGAAGCGAGGATATACTACAAATGCTATGGGATGTTCATCTTATATTATATAATTATCAATTACTTTTTTCCACAAAATGCAATATTGCCAATTATGCGTGGGCTTCGCTTGCCTCGAATACATTTTCTCAAGCATGAACAATGATGAGAATACCACTTAAATTATCAAAAAATGTTAACAAAAAAACAACCCCAAAATTAGCCAAAAAAAATATTTTTTGTTCAATAAGTATTCTGAACAATCACATCGTGTTAGAATTATTTATAATAGCTATATATTGCACAGATGGCCGTGCCCTTGAAAAAGTCAAATATATTCTAATTAGGAATGCAAATTGCAAGCCATTACTTGTCAGTAGATGAACTGAAGAGCTCAACGTTCTATGCGCTCGGCACAAAAAATGATGGTCAAATTCATTTGCTTCGCCCTTCTATTTTCATCTGCAGTTGCGACCTCTGTGATTAAACAATTGACATGGCACAATTGTGGTAAGTAAAATAATATGTTGTAGGAGTTTTTAACAAAATATCTTCGCAGAATTTTCTTACACCTTGCCAAGACCTTGCAAAAATTTGTTGTCATCTTATTATATACTGGAATGCCATATAATTTACTTACTGCTGAAAAATTCCAAAGCGTGTTGCAAGTCGAATTTGTCTTGTGCCGAGTTTGAGGTTTATCACAATAATGTGAGGCACCATATGTTCTCTGAATGAAATCTACACATGCAAGAAGTTTTATATTTGACACAGGAAATCTTTATTTTGGGATTTTGCTGCCTGGATGAGAATGGCTCTCGTTCGAAAGGTGAATAAGGTGATGAACATTTATGACTAATTTGCCGTGCAGCATTGAGCGAGTAAGTCGGTTGAAAACTGCTAAACGGTTTCAAAATTATTTCACAAACATACTCTCGATTAATTTTCAGATGCCTCTGCGCCAGTATTGATAAAAAACCTGACAATCGTCCCAAACCCGATCCCGTTGAAGGCAGGTGTAAAATTGCACGTGAGCGGAGTTATCAACTTGAAGTATACTGTCTCGGTTAAAATTGAACGACAATTTCTGGCTTGGTGGCCAACGATACCTTGCATCGGTTCGTTTGGATCATGGTAAGCGATCATTGAGACTTTTGGACATAGGCGTACGTACGAGACCTCCCCTAAACTTATAGAGAACCATAGAAATTCGGGCAAATGCTAGGAAAAATCAAGAAAATTCGGGCAGATTTATCAGAGGTAGGCTATATAGGTTATTTCATTACAATCATCCTTAAAAAATCGGGCAAACTTTCAACTGCCCCACCCAGAAAGCAACAGCCCCGTACGCCTATGCTTTTGGACTTTTTAAAGCCGGTCATTTTGTTGTTGGACTTTTTGGGAATTTTACCAGACTCTTTGTAGGAAGTAAAATAATATTTCTTACAGAATTTCTGAAAATATTTACTCGGGATAAAATTGCATATACAAAGCTGGGAGATACATCCTTCCGGAAAATATGCCACTTTGGCCATAGAGCCTCGCTTTCATGTATTAAAGTCTGAACGTCGCAATCATGAAATGAAACTCTATAGCAAGGTGACGCCCATTTTCCACCAGGCGAATTTTTCGCGCGAAGCGAAAAACAAATCTTGACAATGTGATTGGTCAGCGAAAAAATTCGCCGCGAAAAAGTTGAATCAGTTCCTACTATTTTTACTGTTCGCGCGAACAAATTCGCCGAGTGGAAAATGGGCTTACGGACTTTTCTCGTCGAAGTATGAATGTGCAGAAACTAAGGATTTAAAAAAATGCTGGTCTACAATAAATTCCCTGCTAGGGAAACAAAATAAATCCAATTATATTAGTGAGCTCAAAGTTGGTGAAAATGTCATCACAGACCCTAATCTCATTGCGGAGCATTTTAATACACACTTCATCAACATTGGAGTGTACCCTGATAAAAATGATACGCCAAACGAATGTGGAGAAAATCTTTATTTCTCTGACACAAACATCCATTCCCAAACTAATAATAAATTTAATTTTTCTCTCATTAAGGTTGATAGTGTCCTCTGTAATTTGAAACACCTTAAAGCAAATAAATCCACTGGCCTAGATGCCATCCCAGCGAAAATACTAAAACTAGCTGCCCATATTATTGCCCCTTCCTTAACGTATATTTTTAATTTATCTCTTCAAAGCGGTATTTATGTTAACGATTGGAAACGAGCTCGAGTAATTCCTATCTTCAAATCTGAAGATAAAAGTAAATGTGAAAATTATAGACCCATTTCTATTTTGTCAATTGTAAGTAAAGTCTTTGAAAAAGAAGTGTTTAGGCAAGTGTATACGTACGTGAATGAAAGTAATCTTCTCTCAAAGTATCAATCTGGCTTTCGGCCACAACACTCAACCTTATCAGCCCTCATTAAAATATGTGACGAAATCTTAAATAACATGGACGAGGGGAAAATAAACTGTATAGTATTTTTAGACATACGGAAAGCTTTTGATTCAATAAATCACAATATTTTATTAAGTAAAATGAGATCCAACTTTGGCATTAGCGGTACTGAATTACTCTGGTTTGAATCATACCTAACGAATAGGGAACAACAATGCGTAGCTAATGGGATACTATCCTCCGTTGGAAAATTAAAATGTGGGGTCCCCCAGGGGTCGATCCTGGGGCCGTTGTTATTTTTGCTCTACATCAATGACCTACCACAATGTCTCCAAAAAACCACGCCGGGTCTTTATGCTGATGACACGGAAATTTACGCGTCATCACACAATGTAAATGATCTTATTGACAACATAAATTATGACCTAAATATTGTTACGCAATGGATGGAGAATAATAAGCTACAAATTCATCCTAAGAAATCTAAATGTATGTTTATTGCATCCCTTATAAAATTAAGAATATACCTCAAGGAATACCAATATTAATTAATAATGTTCCTGTCCCAAGATTAAATTGCTACAAATGCCTCGGTGTCACTTTAGACGAAAAATTGAACTGGGAACATCATATTGATATGATTATTAAGAAAGTCAATGCAGGCATTGCAGTAATTAAACGTATGAAAACCTGTGTTACTCAGGAATTCTTACAAACAGTTTACAACGCCTTAATACAACCCTATTTTGACTACTGCTGTCAATTGTGGGATACCTGTGGAATCGTCCTAAAGGAAAAACTACAAAAATGTCAATCCCGAGCTGCTAGAGTAATAACAGGAGCATCTTATGATATTAGGTCGGCCGATGTTCTTGCAACTTTGGGGTGGCAAACTCTCGACAATAGGCGAAAATACTTGAAATCCATTTTTATTTACAAAATCTTAAATAATGAAACTGCTCCAAACCTGAAAGAAAATTTTTTGAAAATAAGTGATTGTCCTATTACACACCAATTAAGAAATTTTCAAACAGATCTGGTACTTCCATTCCCAAAATCACAATTTAAGAAAAAGACCTTCAGTTATAGTGGAGCAACTCTTTGGAATAACTTATCAATTACTGCTAAACAATCCAATTCTTTGAGTTGTTTCAAAAGATTAATGAAACTACATTTTCGAAAACCATAAGTATGTAAATAGTTTTGTATGTTTGTTATTTATTTATGTTTGTTAATTTGTCAAAATAATCATGTAAATATTTTGTGTTCAATATATAGACCACAGTAAGACTTTTTTTAAATGTTTATTTCATTAACAAACGACGTTTCGGAGATTTACTCCATCTTCAGGTAGTAGGATAAAGACCACAAAGATATTTGAAGACCACAAAGCTCGCTTAAACAACTCCTCGTAGAATCGCGACCTTACGATAAAGTATGCACAGACACCTCTAAATGCCCAATCTGCAGCAACTCAAATGCTCCCGTTCAGTGTACACAGAAAGATGTCGTGTATCAAATCAACTGTGACCTTTGTGGAGCAACGTACGTAGGCGAGACAGGCAGACCATTGGTGGTTCGATACCAAGAACATTTTCGTTCCGCAGCAAACCCGAAAGCAAAGTCCTATAAAAACATGGCTTTCTCGAAACACTACCTCGACCAACATTACGGACAAAAACCGAAACTGTCTGTTAAGATTTTAAAAAGAACAAAAGGATCTGTAGAACGGAAAATTACCGAAGCATTATTCATCCAAAAGCTTAATCCAGACTTGAATGGAAAATACGAACAGTTAAATGTCTTAGACTTCGTAGTTTAAACATTTAAGACAGAATTAACAATTTCTAATTTTTATTAGAATTAATCGGACACGTGCACGTAATTTATATGCTTACGCAATTTCGCACGCGCGAATAACGGTCGCAATTTAACGTTTATGCATGCGCATGTTAGTTTAAATTCAAAGTGTAATCCTACTACCTGAAGATGGAGTAAATCTCCGAAACGTCCTTTGTTAATGAAATAAACATTTAAAAAAAGTCTTACTGTGGTCTATATATTGAACACAAAATATACTATTAACATGAGACTTAGGGAAAGTTCGTTCCTAAACATTTTGAAGAATCATGTAAATAGTTTGTATTATGTATATGTATTAGTCTTATTCTTACACGTCCCCTATGGAAACCATCAAAAGATGTTAGGGCTAACGTGTTTAAATAAATTTTTATGTATGTATATGTATGTAAGTGTACGAGACTTTTGGAGTGACTTGTCCCTCGACTTTATGTACTATTTTGAAACATTCGCAGTGCGTGTTTTATCCGACCTAAAGATACTCGGCTTCGCCTCGTATCTTTATATCATGTTTTAAATAGTACTTCAAAAACTGATTATCGATCTAGTAAGTTCATTGGCGAAGTAATTTTCAAAAAATACGTTGTGTAAGTCGAGAAAGTTAAAGTTAAAGTTTATGTAAATCAAGGGAAATCTTATGAATCAAGGGAAATCTTATGAATCAAAAGCTTATGATTTTTCTTTGTTTTTGAAATATATATGCGCATGTCTTACTAACTGAACTCATGGAACTTATTTTTTCAGCAACTATAAAATCGGGGAAAGGAAAATTCCACCACAAACGATAACAATCCCAACTATCAACGCACCAGCATTTATTCTGGATGTAAGTTTTAATTTACACATATGCGCATGCTCTTAATGACTATATACGTCCAGTACGCCCGTTTACATGCAACTATATATACGCAAATTTGTCTGCGGGAATTTTTGTTCTCATTTGATCAGGAACTCTGGCTCGGCAACTCTCATTATCTCTCGTCATCGTTTGACCAAGGCTAAATACTTTATTTTGTGACAAAACAATGATATGGTTTTATCCTATACAAATAATTTAATGGGTGATTCCAGCTATATGGACGAATTTTTTATCAAGGCAAGAAGAATGAAATTCATCACCACAGCTGGAAAGAGCATTTTAAAATGAGCAAAATTGCAAAGTTTGGTTGCGAAATGTTGTAAAATGAGGAAAATATAGCCCTGTGAAGTTCGCAAATTTTGTATATATTTGCATTACGCGCGGGAACAATAACCATTTTTGAGCGGAAAGTGGTTATTTTTCCCGCGCGTAACACAAATATATACAAAATTTGCGAACTTCACAGGGCTATATTTTCCTCATTTTACAATATTTCGCAACCAACTTTGCAATTTTACTCATTTTGAGATGCTCTTTCTAGGTGTGGTGTTGGATTTCGTTCCGAATCACCCATTTATAGCATATGGCATTTTCAATTAATTTCTTTCAGGGAAAGTACAAAGTGAAATCAGACGTGAAGGAAGACTCGACGGGAAATCGTTTGTTCTGCATCGATCTCGCATTTGAAATTGCATGACATAGTTAATTGATGAGGACGGAATGAGAACATTATAGATTAAACTTGAATGAGGAAATTAGTTCAATTAAAATGGATTGTGTTGAACAAGGTTTAAAGCCCTTGATTAAAAAGAACACTTGGCTTATATAAGTTATATATATTCTTCTATAGACAATTGAAATATTTGGCTTCTATTCTTCTATAGTTTAGTACCTAATCTATTAATGTTGATGAAATAGACAGTATAGAAATAATTGGCTCTATATTCTTCTATAATTCAGTATCCAATTTATTAAAGTTGATATACAATAGACAATAATGAAATATTTGGCTTCTATTCTTCTATAGTTTAGTACCCAATCTATTAAAGTTGATATACAATATAGACAATATAGAAATATTTGGCTCTATTCTTCTATAATTCAGTATCCAATTTATTAAAGTTGATAAAATAGACAACTGAAATATTTGGCTTCTATTCTTCTACAGTTTGGTTCAAAATTAATAACAAATTAGGATAGCTTAACTCCCAAGCTCACTGAATTCACTGCAGCAAAATATCTGTACTAAAAATATGTCAGATTTATTTCAGTCGGGTAATCGGAAAATGCCCATAATATATAGATGTCTGTCTGTACTAGAAAGGTGTTCGTAAAAAGAGGTTCAACTACTATATAACCCTTGACAGAAGCCGATTGAGAGAGATACATGTATACACGCCAACAATGTTGGCGTGTATCGTTTGGGGTGTTTTATGCATGTGAATTCACTTACTATTGCTACATCTGGGAATTTCAGGGTTGTTTAAACACGTAAGTGCTTTTAAAAGTCTAGTAATGTATGTTTTGGCTCGAATACAAAAGTATAAGTAATTTTGTTTTCTGCCGTCGCCGTTGCATGCCAAACTCACTAGTGACGATTGACGAAGGGCCTAATTCGCTCGAAACGTCGAAGTTCTCCTTGACTTTGTATTTTCAGGCAGTTGTAGGGATCAGTCCGAAACTGTTTTTTGTCGTCGCTATCATAGATATCTTATATACACTACATAGCGCATCTCTTTTAGTAAAATTGAAGCCAAGAATATTCCAGCGGTTACCCCCATTTGAATAGATGGCGGCCATGTTGGTATTTCCCACTCGCGTAAAAAACGCTTAAAAAACAACAATAACTTTCATCATTTGAATAGTTTGAAAATGTATTTGGAATAGGTTTAACTTAATGTTTAAGTTCCTACCTCCTCCGCAGGCCTTTCGATGCGGGCGGGAATAATTTGCGGGCGTGAAATTTAATTGAGATCAGGGAAGAACGGAAGGCGACGAAAGGCCTGCTGAATAATAGTCGGTTCCTGGGCAGAAGTGACGTTTCCCGGGTATCGGTTTTTAATCCTTAAAAATCTTCGTGAAATATGAACCATCCTATCCCAAAACTATTGTCCCGTGTATGGTAGAGTATTTGTGATACTTCAGGGCAGTCATGGCCGAAAGCAGCGACGAACAGAGGGGAAAATCGAGGATTTCGACGATGTTGATAATATGTCACTAATAATATGTCATTCTGTGAAATGGAAATATGTATGTATTTTACCTGATTAAATATCATGTAGATCATTGACGCGTTTTATAATGCAATTCATAACAAGCAGTCGTAACACAATGATATCGATCGCTATGAACAGGACACGCTTGAATAACGCCATATGTTGACAATTAATATGTTGTGCTCATCGTTCGACGGCAGCGATGTGGATACTCCCAATATATCGTTTTCTGAAATGGACTTGGTATGTAGATTTTTGTGGTAATGGGATTCTACATGCAGACATTGTGTTATTATACTCAAAAGACAAAGAACAAGCGAACAATGAGACGCTATATTACCTCTATTTACATTGTAAATGTATATTTTTAATATGCAAATATAATTTCACCATATTTATCTTTCAAATTGTGCTTTTAATGTTTCATGCAGACCGTGATATTTGAATCTTATCTAAAGTATTTGGAATGGCTTATCATAGGCTTAGTCGCAAAATATGTAGAAAGCGGATATAATATCGTTGATGTTGTATTTGCATTGGCATAATTTGTATAAACACTTTATATTAGACAGTCTCCATCGTCATAGAAAAGCGGCGGCTAGTTATAAGTACTTTTTAGTCTGCCAAGACCACTGGATGCTATTTCTAAATATTATTTAGATCTATTAGATCAGTGCTGGTATGTATATTGTATATTAAGTCATAATAGTAAAGTCAAAATGAAAATTTCGATTTATAGCATACGCCATCTTGAAAGCATTACTCGGCAGGCGCTCTCGCCTGCAACCCGCATTTTCCGAACCTGCCCGAAATGCACCCTAAGCGCCTGCGGAGGAGGTAGTTTAAGTTCCGTGTTTAAGAAATAGAAAACATACGAGTCTTCTCATTTCATGGGAATATCCTGAGTCTGCAATCACGGCTTCAATTTTTGAATTGCAGAATAATTAGGTGCACTATCTAGTGTATATAAGATATCTATGGTCGCTATCTGCACTGGCACAGAGACCGTTCAACTATCATCCTTTAATAACTATTCACGAAAATTGGTCTGTTCCCGTACACGACGAGGTGTGGCGTTAATCGATATGTTTCCTAATGAACTATAAATGATAGATTTTTCCTGGGAAATGGGTCGTTAATTTTCCGGCCTACGTACATCACGAGGGCTTGTCAAGTGCTTTTGTTTTTATCACGCAATTTGCAAACTTCCGTACAGACACAACATGTTCCTACTCGTCCCACCGCGTGAGAACTAAATTTACCCGAAATCACGTGAAACCAGATCGCCAAGTCGAACTGATAGAACAATCGAGAGGAATTCTTCTGGCGCGAAACACGTGATCGTAGTCTGCCAATCAGATTCTCGCACGCTACGACACGTGCGCAGTGACGCATTAATTGAAGTGTCGTCGTTGAAACGTCGACATAGGGGAAACCAAACTTTAAATTTTTAATAGAAGGAATTTTTCAATCAACGCCACTGCATCAAGCATAACAATTTTAAAAATATCGCTCTCTAGAATGTTTTTGACTAAGCCCAAATTCAAGGCAAGTATCAACAGATGTCAGACTCAGAATTCTATACCCGGAGAACGTCATCATGCCACGAGTCCGCGCTTTACTGAGGCAAATATCTAAGCATACAAATGAGCAACAAACTTCAAGTTTGCCGTAGACAACAAGTACACGAGTCTTATAAATGATCAATTTTGCCACCCTGAATTGTCTGGTCACAGTGTCTGCTGCTACATTTAATTCAGACAAATTTAATTTGTTTCATTAGCAAATTGTTGCCGCCATTTTAATTATTCATGCGCAATTTATTCAAAGGAAGGGCTGCGATATGCAGTGTCTTTGTTTCCTGTTGTACCACAACAGCGAGGGATGATCTAACCATGAACGACACACAGCAAGCAAGGGACCAGCCTTGCCTCGCCTTAACTATGGTTGGCCAATAATTAGTAACAGAACACTCATAGCCCACTTAGCTTCTGGGCCCACAGCGATCGCCAAACTACGTCAGGCCCAAGCCAAGACTTGTAGCACTATGAATAAGTAATGTAGATAGTGCAAACGTATCACAATTCACAATTACCAAGACTGAATTTTCTACTTCAATATGTCAAAAGACTAAAGCATGTTAATGTTCTGCTCAAACGAGAACGAGAGTTGCACGAGAGTTGATGAGAGTTGAGAAGCGAGAGTTTGCATGAGAGTTTTCTCACATGCCCCCGGTCAAACGAGAACAAGAGTTGCATGAGAGTTGATGAGAGTTGAGAAGCGAGAGTTTGCATCAGAGGTTTCTCAACTCTCATGCCCCGGTCAAACGAGAACAAGAGTTGCATGAGAGTTGATGAGAGTTGAGAAGCGAGAGTTTGCATCAGAGGTTTCTCAACTCTCATGCCCCGGTCAAACGAGAACAAGAGTTGCATGAGAGTTGATGAGAGTTGAGAAGCGAGAGTTTGCATCAGAGGTTTCTCAACTCTCATGCCCCGGTCAAACGAGAACAAGAGTTGCATGAGAGTTGAGAAGCGAGAGTTTGCACGAGCGTTTTCTCAACTCTCATGCCCCGGTCAAACGAGAACAAGAGTTGCATGAAAGTTGATAAGAGTTGAGAAGCGAGAGTTTGCATCAGAGTTTTCTCAACTCTCATGGCTATGCCCCGGTCAAACGGGAATAAAGGTTGCATGAGAGTTGACTGGACATTACCTCGCCAAAACTCTCATCAAAATTTGAACCAGTTCAAAGTCGATGAAAGTGTATGAGAGTCGATGACAGTTGGCGATCAAACGTGAGCCAGAGTTGCAATTCTCGTCAACTCTATTTTATGATAAAACAATCTAATAATCATCATAAATTATTGATTTTAATCCCACTACTCGAATAAGCGGAAACGCGCAAACTGCTTAAGATTCAAATGAGATAGATATGTATCACACGAGATAAAATTCCCATTAACAAATTTGGCAACAATAATAAAATAATGGCCAGACAAAATGGTCGCGATTATATTAAATAATTTATTTCAAGTCAATTTATTGAGGATATACATAGATAATAACAGGGCAATTCAATAATCGGTCATATATATCGGCGCTAATTGATAAGTTATGATAACGCGGCTCCCTTTGGTTACCGGAAGGAGGAACAGAACAAAACGAGGACTGGACGTATGGACTCATGGATAGCTTAGTATGTCTAAAATGATATCAATAATCTATCGAAATATATTAAAAGTCAATCATGTAAAATATATAATACAATATGGAAAGATCAAATTCAACAGTGTAATAAATTGCGCATCTTAAACCTTGTTGAACCGCACAAACTCATCAATAATTCTCATGGATTATAAATTAGCATAAATTCTCATAGATTAGCCAACCATATTGCTTTATTTTGTTCACATGACAATGCTGGATACCTGGTGAAGTATAATTATTCGTAAGAGAAGTCATTTCAAATCCTCCAATAGGCAATTCCAGCTTTTAGTTTATGCCTGCAGGGGATGATGGGAAGTGTACAAGTGTAAGCTATCAGTCCTTGTTTACAGTCTTTCACGGCCACCATTTTTCAGCATAATCAGCAATGTGATACCTTACTTCCCATCGTCCCCTGCACGCATAAACTAAAAGCTGGAATTGCCTATTCGGACTGGATTTCAAGTCCTCGCATTTTGATCCAGTCCTCGGCTTCGCCTCGAATTTGTTGATCAAATTGCGCGGACTTTAAATCTGGTCCAGTCCCCATAGTCGGATTTGAAATATCACATCAAGTCCAGTTTTACGTTTTTCGTATTTTGAGTCGAATTTTGAGTCCATGAGTCCATTCCTTGCTTTGTACTATGCCGCCGGAAAGCAAGTAGACTCAGCGGGTGGCCCGGAGATTAACACCTTCATCAATGTTCACTCAACACACTCAACACGAGGCTGTAGAAGAGGTTGTTTTCAAGTTGGGCTGAAGGCAAAGTTCAACTACCAAGGAACAACGCGGTTCTTTAAAACACAGTTAACTGAACGAGTTTTGCGGGAATTGATTGATATGGAGTTAAAAGCACGGGTTTTATGTGGTGTATTTGTGCTGTTGGTATCAATGTGTTATCTATGCGAGGCGAGGTGGATCGATAAGACAGATCAAGGATCGATCTCAGATATAGATAGGAACGCACAGTTGCTCCTGAACGACTCCGGGAATGCGACGAATCTAACTGGTAGGTTTGTGCACTTTCTGCCCCGTATTCGATTTTACACGCGATGTAAAATCTACAACCATTAGTTAAAAGACATTCCGAAGAGTGACATCCTATTGTCGTAGAATCAACATTCGCGCTATTGAAACAGGACAACCAAATTCAACCTTGAATTTTCTCAATATATTTCTCATATCTTCACAAGATGTCATTACTTTTCGGAGTGTCTTTTATCCTATAATTGGCGAAATTATCCGTTGGTAAAAAAGTTTAGATCCCTAAACGCTTGAGGGAAATAAGGTCTATATTTTACTCTTCCGTTCTTTAATGGGGCAGAATCCTATAGTTAAGCGTTCTTCATCCCTGTTAAAACGTTTAATACACATTAATACACACACGGAAAATTTTAAGCCCATTTGCTGTTACTTATGAAATATGATCAAATATCTAAATAAATAAAAGGAGGGTGTTCAGTTTTGTGTATTATTTAACGTGCATTTGTCGAGGTACCAAGTATTTATATAAAATGTAGAATGATTTGCATGAAAAACGCTTCATTGGAATGCAACGTTTATTTCTGTAGACTGAATTTGCGCAAATACTGAGACAAAGCGCATTAATAGGCAAGCACGCATTTATTCGAGTGTTTTGGCCTCTAACCAAACTAAACGTTTTAGTCAACGAACAGGGTGAACAATAGAAAAAAGTCTGGATTTTATGGGTAGATACAGAGCAAATATACAAAATCCAGTCTTATTTGCCAAGAGTATACGAACTGGAAGCCTGGTGTTTCTATTAAATATATTTGTGTTATAAACATTGAACCTGTACGTGATGTTGTTATTTGAGTACCATGTGACAACTCTCGTCACGAATTTCGCCTATGAATAAAAAGGTACATGAACATGGAATTTGGTTAGAGAACTAAACATTATCCCAGTTGAAAAAAAATGATTACAGATCATTGACTAGGATTATCGATTTAATTAAGTAATTTAGCCAACGCAATTAGGCACGATTATTTGATTTTCTTCAAACATTACTCACTAGAATTGTTCAAACAATGGGACTTCCGTTCAAACACACAAAACCAGGAATTTTTAGAAAAATATACCTGCGCGCAACAGCATGTGTATATTATTGTAGCAACAAAATTATCGTCACTGCTGACGCGATAGGAAGTTCCGACGATAGAAAAAGTCAATTTGCGCAAAATATTTTCCTGGTAGAAAACGAGTTGTTTTACATGTGCCAAAATTGCGCAGAACAGGCACACAATTTGTTTCTTAAAATAAATATATGTTACATGCAATGTATAATGTTGAACTTGCGCCAAGAAGCATTGAGTGTTGAATGACTCGTGACTCTGAAAGATATTTCCACAGAGGTTACCTAAATTGAAATTTGACATCACTAAAGTCTAAGGGTTAAATTCTGGAGAATGTTTGTCATCGTTAAGTTCGCACGACGGTGTTAATGTGCGATTTGAATTTGAAACTCAGCTTCAAGTAGATAGGTAGAGTGGATTATTAATGGATTTAATATACAAGCTCTTATATGATAAGATATGGGCTCCTGAGAATTTAAGGGTTGAAGGCTGCACGCAGGCGTCGGCGGGTTTTCACTCGACTCGTCTGAGTGTTTGCGGTTTCACGCGCACTAGGGTTTCCTAGATATGCAATTTAGATACACCATATGCGTATGGAGATTCTATTCTTAGGTTATCAAGTCAAAATCTGCCATGCTCAGATAACCACAAAAACGTCTCAGTCATTTTGCGTGGGATGAAACAACAAGGCAGTCTGCCGTATTATGTTAATCAATACTCCCATACAAAAAGATGGCCCTCCCTTATTGAATACTGGACCTCAAAGGACAAAGACGAGCAGTTTAGAACAGATAGAGCTATTCGCGACACTAGGATAAATAGAGTTCATTAGTTTTTAGACTACATTGATACTGCACTGGAACGGTTTGAAAACGGCGCAGAAAAGTCACAGGGGCGTCACAATTAGCCGTCGCGTTCACATTACGACAGAGCGGCTTGGCGGCTTCGTGTGAACACAAACGCCGTTACTTTTTTCTACCGCTTGCAAACCAAGCATCTCAGCTCTCAAAACAGCAAAACCGAATGCTTTTCGTTTAAATTTCTTTGCCCTATTTGAGATAATCTGGGTTTACATTAGTGCTCATTTAATTTGTAAACAAACTGCGATGCCGTATAGTGTGAACACACGCAAATTCTGTCGGCATTATTTCGCTAAACATACATTACGTTATTGTAAATGCGTATGGTATTTAATTAGGCATATACTGATGATTATAATGAAAATTCTTGCCGGCAGGTAGCGCGAACTATCTGAGCCAAAAATTTTACACGGGCTCTTTGACTTTGTAGATAACGCGTCAAAGAATTTTAAATAAACTAAGCTTAATAAATGATTCCCAAACAAACACGAGGTGTTTTAAGAAACTTATGGTGGCTTATTTTATAATACGCTTGCTCTATTACTGCACGACCGAGGTAAATGACGAGCGCGCGCTAACGTCCCTTAGGCGAAATTTTATTAAAATGCGAGTTTATTTATTCATATGTGTTCCTCGACAAACCTTCATGACAAGCCGTGTATTTGTTTTTGTCCGTCTTCAGACGCGACAGCAACAGTAAAATTAATCAAATATGGCTAGGATAAAAACGTAAATTATGCGAGTCCAATGGCACGGGGCTGTTCATATCTAGCCTGCGCAGCAGTCGCTTTTAACTCGCCATTTATTCAAAAATCCTCAAAACCTGCAATAAAATAAAGCGACTGCTGTGCAGGCTAGTTCATATCATGAGCCACGTAAGCCCGGGTGAATCGTGTCACGAATACGTTTCTGACCATGAAAGATCCTTTGAAGATGAACTTTATATTGTTAATGGAATCAGCCTAAGCTAATTCAACTTTGAAATATCATTTTGAAAAAGCCGTGATACGAGAGCTTTAATGGACCAATTATCCCTGTTAACGGGCCAGCCCGTCTCCACATGAACAGCGCGCGACACGTGGTGGTTCAATCATGAGTCATTTGCTGCAGGCATATTATTATAGGGAATCGAATCCCCATCAGAAAGGTGAAAGCTCATGCGCTAACTACAGTGGCAAGAGCACTGAACTTCAGAAGCAAAAACACCTGGTGGCTGCTCAAACGAGGATAAGAGTTGCAACTCTCGCTCAACTCGTGACAACTCTCATACTCTCCAGGCCCGGCCAGGGTTAAGGATACCCAAATACCCGGTATATTTTTGGTCAGATACCAATATACCCAAATTTGGAGGAGATCCAGATGCCAAATACCCAAAATTAAAGTCTCGACAAGATACCAAATACCCGTAATTAAACTGTCCCGATACCATATATCGCAAATAAAACGCCCAAGATACCCGTATACCCAAAACCCCTGGCTGGGCCTGACTCCCCGCATCAACGTTGAACTGGTTCAAATTTTGACGAGAGTTTTTTGCTCGGTAATATCCAGTCAACTCTCGTGCAAACTTGAACAGTCTTTGCCAATGTGGGTAGTGCCAATAATAGAGAAGAAAAATACAAGATAAACTTAGCGAAGGCCCTTCATCGAGAAGTTGGTGGAAGTCACTATCACAGAATACTACACAGAAGTCTATCTCCATTGTTTTTTGCGTAAGCGTTATTCGTCATGATTCGTCACTCAGGCTCAGCAAGTACCGTAAACAGATGCAGTCACCCCCCTGGACGTGCGCCATTTTGAGTATTTCCAGGGGGACTGTTTCTGTTTACGGTACTTGATGGGTGACGAATCATGACGAATAGAGTTTACGCAAAAAACAATGGAGATGGACTTCTGTGTAGTATTCTGTGTCACTATAGACCCATTGCACATGACGTCACAGCGCGGGTGACGATGCATCTGGAGGACACATTAGCAATCTATGCATACTGTAGCTTCTGTAAACAAAGTCAATTTTGTAAAATTTTATAATAATTTTGTATCAAAATGGTTAATTGTTGCGCTGTATGTGGTTGTTGTACCCGAATAGATATTGTTAGGCAGCATCTGGAGGACACTATAAGGATTTGTGATGTCAGTTCAATGGGTCTATAGCAGGACCGCCGAGAGGTTTGCGGGGGCCCGGGGCAAATTTTTTTTTGGGGGGCCCCTATCTAAAAAATTTTTCCGGAAAAATATTTTTCCGGAGAACAACCTCCCCCCTCCCCCCCCCCGTTGCCAAAAAATTTTAGGGGTAAAATAAGAGTACGTTGCAATTGCTTTCCAGGGACTTTATTTCATTTTTTTATGCCAAATTTCGGTACTTAGCCCAAGAAAACAGATATCTTGTCCTTTGCGCGGAAATATTTAACACACACAAAAGACTGGGGCCCAACAAAAATTTTTCAGGGGCCCCCACCACCTCGGGACCCGGGGCAATTTGGCCCCCCCCCTGCCCTCCCTCTCGGCGGCCCTGGTCTATAGCAATAAGTGTTATGAACCCGTAAACCAAAAAGTTATGTAACAAATTGTATCCCTATCAATCTGAAGCTTTCTTATGCAAACTCTCGCTTGTCAACTCTCATCTTCATTTCATCGCGGAGTCTTAAAAAACGAACGAAAAAAAAGTTCGCTAGACCTATTAATAGGAATTTTATCATGAAAAAAAAAACCAGCAGGAAAACGGACCACTTGGCAAAGTACGTAGTAATAAATCTTTTAGCACTTGAGTTTTTGTATTGTTTCACCTGTGTGAAAATAGGAAATCCATTCAAACTATTAAATGAAACTTTATATATTGATATTACACACCCGCGACTTTCCGGTAGGATTAAACCTCATGTGGTTATATTGTAGAATAGTACTTCTCAAATTCATTAATAATTCATGAGGAAAACACAAAGAAAAATCATAAGCTTAGCGTGTCGTATCTTTACATGTGATAGAGATTTCCTTTGATTTACATAAACCTTAACTTTGATTTTCTCGACTTACACAACGTATTTTTTGAAAATTACTTCGCCAATAAACTTACTAGATCGATCGTTTTTGAAGCAATTTAAAACATTCGCAGTGCGTGTTTTATCAGACCTAAAGATATTCGGCTTCGCCTCGTATCTTTATATCTGATACAACGCACTGCCGCTCATGTTTTAAATAGTACTTCAATAACTAATGAACAAGCTCTTGTTGGTAAGGAGAATTTCGACGTTTCGAGCGAAGCCCTTCGTCTGGAGTTACTGAGAAGAGTTACTCATATCATTCAAAGACAGTTCAAGTTGGTTATGACTGCAACATTTTGAAATGCATTCATAGCCATGCAAGTGGCATTATACTCATTAGTTTTGAGCGCGTGTTACGTGACATATGCAAATTATCTCCAGCTCTTAAACTGCTTATTTTTGCAGTGATAAACTCATGAACGGAAACTTTATGCATATAGCTTATACTCCCTATGCGTGAGAAGATTATGTGAAGCGGTAACCTCCGTGACCTCCTGGCCTGTTAATGTGATCTGGATTTCCGAATTTTCACTTCATTTAGAAAGAAAACAAAATCTCGATAACAAAATCTGTTTATGAACGCAATACCTCAATTTTCCCAAGTGTTTGTGGGTGTTTGTATTTTAATAAAACTAAAGACTCCCACCCCCGTACTTCATTTTAACAAGCCAGTCTCTAATAAACGCTGAAACATACTATTAAACATTTTTTAATGTTGATTAAAAATTGCCTTTACGTTGGCCGGAGTGTTTAAAAAAATGAAAATCCTGTGGCTAAACGAGAAGTTGACTCACATAATGGTTGTCCAAACAGAGAACCGCCTTGCGGTAATTAAAATTTTTCAGCAATTTACTAATTTAATTCGATCGTTATCAAATAAGTACTACAGGTTATCGGTCTTAAACACATTTCCTTCCCCGGTTTGCCCCGTCCTTTATCTAAGAAAACTATAGTTATCTTTAAAAACTAAAGCCCCATAATTTTCCATGACAAGTTTTCCGCTTCTCGTGTGTACGGTCGACAAATTTTCCTTGAAAAGTTTTCATTTGACAAGTTTTGTTGCTCCGGGTCGCTTTGCCAAAACCATAGAAGAATTTCTTGTACATTAGTCACGTTTTCGTTGGCGGCCGTACACACGAAAAAATCCCCCTTGACCAAAAGCTAGCATGACCAGTTTTGGAACAAGGTTCCTTGGATGGAAAGAACAAATTGTCAATTTTTTACCGTACACTCGAGCAAACAAAATTTGTCAAGGAAAACTGTGCTTAGTAGTTAGTGACATTTATATTTGTTCATTTCGCATGCGCAGTTTTAGTGTGAAAATGCGCTTTTCTAAATCTCATCTTTAGCAATTAGTGCGCAAAATTGTATGTGTTTACTTTTTGGCTTATAATATTAGCCGTTTCGTTGCAATGCTTTGGGTTAAACCGTCTGAGCTGTAATTAGACATGCGTATATGTTTACAAAGATCTTGAAGTCTTTTAAAGTACGTTTTTCATAATCGGATCTTGGCCATAAATCATAATGGATGATAGTAATATAAAATTAGCCTCAGATTCCTGTTTTCCAAATTGTCCATCAAACTGAACTTTACGAACATATATTTCAGAATCATCCTCAGAGGCACCGATGCCCAAAGAATCAGACTTATTAAGAATCATTATCAACGCTGTCGCCGGAGAAAAGAGCACTGTGGTGTACAACAAGACTATCTTAGTGGAAAGAAACAAGGTTGTCACACTGAACTTTACAAGACAGATGCTTTCATCATTTAATGGTAAAGTAAATGTTTCTCTTAATGTTTTTTTTATTAAAAAAATATTTTCCAAATGTTTGCCCCAAAAGCAAATAATGCTTATCTAGGGGGCTTAAATTAATATTTTCAAACAAACACACACATTAATGTTAGTCTTTTAATGTTTCCTTGATCTCCTTACTGGACCTCCAAGTAGAACAGTTAGAACTGATAAAGCTAATTTTCAGAGTCTTCTCTACCTCTTTCGTTAGGCCCTTTCATTAATTCTTTCATTATGATTTGTGAGTCTATATGCTATCCGTGAGTCCGAATGGATTATTATTATTATTATTTATTGGCCTTTTTAAATTCGTTCTTTTTCTTTGGGGCGGGGGGGAGGGGCCTTATAAAATATTGGGGGGGGGCGTGTCCCTGACTAGACCTAATGGGGGGCGTGTCCCTGGCTAGACCTAATGATGAAGTTATACAGTATAAATAGAGAATGTTTAGCTTCGAGTTTTATTTTAATTTAATCCTCTTAAAGTGCCTATATCAGGGTTTTGGAGTTTGCATATCTCGAAAGTTTAGGGTATTTTAAGACACTTTGCAATATATTTTGTTATTGAAAAATTTCATCTTGATGGATTTATTAGCTCTTAAAGTTACCGGACATGACGTCAAAAGGAGAATTTTGTTGCAATGAAACAAAGGAAAACTGATTTGCAATTCTCCTTTTGACGTCATGTCCGGTAACTTTAAGAGCTAATAAGTCCATCAAGATGACATTTTTCAATAACAAAATATATTGCAAAGTGTCTTAAAATACCCTAAACTTTCGAGATATGCAAACTCCAAAACCCTGATATAGGCACTTTAAATTTCTCGATTCATCAGACATCGCGAATACACCAGACACTCGAGGAGATATAAGGATGGCAATAAATCACATTCAAAACCAACAACTACAACAATACAAATCAGCAACCATCGGCCTGGCTGTGTTATGCGCTGTGATGTTCCTGGCCCTAGCGTTCATAACACTGCGTTCCAGAGCGAAACGCACATCGAAGAAGCCCGATGACGACACGTCATTAGCAGTTGCTAAGCAAACCGTGGAAAGTGAATACCAGAGTATACGCGGTCTGCCGAGGAGGGAGACTGGTAACTCGTATGGCTACGAAACGGTAAGAAGGCTTAGACTACATACACACAACATCAGAGCGAAATAATGCCGGCAGAATTTACATGTGTTCACACAACGCCTTACAGTTTGTTTACAAATTACACTAGCACTCATGTAAACCCAAAATATTTCAAATAGAGCCAAGAAATTTAGACGAAAAGCATTCGGTTTTGCTGTTTTGAGACGTGAGATGCTTAGTTTGAAGCCGCCAAGCGCTTCGTTTTCATCTCGCTCCGTTTAGAAACAGTGCTCAAATTATCACGGCAAAAGTGACGTTTTCAAACAATAAAAAAAACCCCGGAAAAAACCAAAAACAACATAGGTCAGTTATTTCCCGAAAGCCAATAACAAGTTCAAAACTAACTCCCTTGATTACTTTCAGGTCAAACCCAAGCTTCCATCAAAGCGGCCACCTCTCGCTCACCTCATACAGCCCAATGGAGGCGGCGAGTACGAAAATCTCAAGCCACATGACCGCGAAAACCTCAAGACGCATGTCCGAGAAAGTAACCCATATATGTCAATGGATGAAGCACTTGCCGGAAGTGGTCTGACCGGAAGAGGTCTGACCGGAAGTGATCTGACCGGAAGTACCGAAAGTAGTCTGACCGGAAGTGGTTTGACCGGAAGTGTGGTTGCACTCTCCGGCGGAGACGAGGACTTATATCTTACTATGAAGAAATTAATAAGAACGCCGGATGAGATGGCAGCAGAAACAAACGAGTCGGCATCTATTTAATGTTTACATTTGGACACGAAATTGGGCTCGTATTCGAGATCCCACTTTGTTCCAAGTAGCGGGCTGGTTTGTAAGTTACCGTACAGACAACCAGCTGATATCGGATTCTGTTCGCAATGCTTGCTCCAAGAACGACTTGTAAATAGCTTCACAAGTTGCACAAAACATTTTCTACCGTATCATTATTTATAAAACATTTTCTATCATTTACATACTTAGAGTTATCTATATTTGTAGTTTTGTTTAAAGATTTGTAGATATTTCCTATTAAAATTTAATAAAAAACATCTGTTTGAAAACATTGTCTTTTTCTTCAAATTGCAGTCCTACGAAAACATCACAAATGTCCCATCATTTGTGACGATGTCATGGGATTACACACGTAAAAACGCGCGAGTTGTTGCAGATCTGCAAACAAAGTTGCAACAAGGTTGTTGCCAAGCCGATATCAGGATGTGTTCGCACTGCTTGTTCCCAGTTGTTGTGACAAGTCTGGAACAAGTTGTTATCACCTTGTTACAAGGTTGATGACGGCAACAGACTTGCTACAAGTTGCTCCAACAAGACTAATACAGTTGCTACGAGCTTGTTGTCATCAACTTGTTACGTGCAGACGATATCAGATTTGCTGGAACAACTTGTTGCAAGTCTGCTGACCTCATCATCTTGTTACAGGATGATAACAATTTGTTCCAGACTTGTCAACAACTGGGGACGCGCAGTGCGAACACATGTTGTTGACAAGCTGTGAGAATTTTACATGTGTAATTTGACTCCACCCTACCTTGTCGAGTAGATCATGATATGGAGAAATAATATCAGGGATGGATTTACTGGAGAGGTGCGGGGGGTGTGTGTGCACCCCCCTTAGCCCTGGCCAGAGGGGTGCAGGGGGTGCTATATTTCATGATAAAGCAAAAAAATTATTAGAGACAAAATGAGATACAGTAATTTGAGTAATAACATGATGATAAGCGAACTGTGAACAACAATAACAATTCAAATACAGTAGTCAAGCAAGACTTTGCAGTAGTGAAGCAAGTTGATGGGCGGGTGCACACATGACTGACACAACTCGGCACCAGAGCTGGCAAAACACCCCTATCAGATCATGCTGGATCCATCCCTGAATAATATAAGCCCATAATTTCGATATAGGTTTGAAATCTTCAAATACTTATTACAAACATTTATAACGTTTTTATCAGCAGCTGTTCATTTTAAATGCAAACGACGGCAGAACATAGCAAATTGTTTCAACTCATAACAATAAATATATCCGAACAATTTAAACGTGCGGATTTGGAATAAACCTCTGTAACTCTGTTTAAATCTTTGATTTATTACAATGGTAAAACGTACCTCACAGAGCATAAGTTATTTCGCTTGTGGTCTGACTCACTTCATGACTTTGTGTTTTTTATGTACGACGCGTTTCTGACGAGCGTACTCGGGGAAGTAATCTAAAAACATACACAGAGGTGAAACAACTTGTATAAAGTGAAGTGTGGGGTATCGAAGGAGTGTAGGGAAATGCGCATTGGTAAGTCTCGAGAGGTGGGTGGTGGGATGGATGGGCGTAGAGGGGCGGGGTTGGTGGGCTTAGAGGGGCGACCGTCTCGCTTGAAATTTTTTCTTAAAGTCCATGAATGGTAACCGATTACAGTGACACTGAGGGGAAGAGAGGGGGGGGGGCTTGAAGGCTAAAACTGCAGCTACATGCTGCATGAAATTTAAGGCAAAAAAGTTTTAAAGAACTGAGATTTCCAGCAACAAAAAGTGGTGATATGGTAGCAACCAAATCCTCCCCCCCCCCCCCCTCCCGCCAGTATTTCATAAGGTGTAAGCCACTGGCTAAAATCACTACGTACCCAAGTTGTAATATCATTGTAACTAATAAAAAAATCATGACCGTAAAGGAGCTTGGACATCTAACACAAAATCCTGCTGATAAACGTTAAAGGACTGATGGCAACAAAAAAATATTTCCTCAATAGAAAGAACGTTTATTAAAATTATCTTTAAAATCTTCTTACAGATTTTTCATATCAAGCTTAACTCTTGAAATATTTTGACTGAAAGCAATGAGATGTCCGCCATCTTGGATTAATTCTCAACCTCATTAACTGTCGTTTTGATGACGTCAGGAGTGGGGTTAGCTTTATAAAATTACTTCTAAGTTACAGAGTAACAATCAAAAGTTGTTTAAATTGTTTTTATTCCATTCAAAATTTGAACTAGCAACCAAAAACAAGTTTCGGGTTCATATTGATCACTAGCTGTCGAGATAAAAAACTTTCGTGACCCCACTTATGACGTTTCATGCATATCCTCAATAATCCAAGATGGCGGAAAGTTCATTGCTTTTAGTCAAAATATTTCAAGAATGAAGCAAGATATGAAACATCTATAACAAGATTTTAGAGATGATTTTAAACGTTCTTTCACGTAAAACAATAAAAATTTTTCTTGCCATTGTCCTTTAAATTTATTCATTCACCTACACAAGATACAGTCAATTTAGCAAACAACAAAACTTACTCGTAGCCAGAGCATTTTGAGCTGCATTCATTTCAGCTTCACGAATACTAAAAAGAATAGGTGACCAGTCAATGCTAAATGGCGCATGCCGAACCACTATATATGCTACGACAACCATTAGAAAACTATCACATGCAAACAAAACGCACTTACCTGTCTCCAAAGCCAGTTCCCAGTCTTTTACTATTGATATACACCCCAACTACAAGAAACACCAATGATGTATATTATTTATAACAACCACGGAAGCCTATGGTCACAAACATAGCAAACCAACCTGTAAAAAGCTTCATATTTGGAGAACCAATATTTTTCAAAACTCTATAACAAAATTTCATAAAATACAGAGTCTTTAGTTATATTCAGATTTTCATTCAAAAAGATTATTTCTATACATTTATCTTACTTGTAGACAGGAACATTGTCAGAATGTGTTGATTGTGTCAAACAACAACTTTGGAGTTGAGACTTGGCATCCATCCACTCCTGATTAACAATCACGTTCTAAAGCAGAAACAAATCATCAAGTAATTCTAAAGCCTTAAAATATCTCTATGGTCAAGCATTTCATCCTGCTTTGCATATAATTTGCCAACATGTTAAACAACTGCTTTTATTACCTATACACACAAAGAGAATACTTCATAACATATTGATTTAGGGCGACCTGATATTAAATATGGTGACAAGATCTTATTCACTGGTAGCGAAATAAATTTGGTCCCTCAATTTGCTATATATATGGCTATAGACTGCTTGCCCAAAATGTCTTCAATACAGAGAGCAAGAGTCAAGCCCAGAGTCTCAGCGGTGTGAGCTACTTGTTCTGACAACTGTGCTACTACCCCCCCCCTCCCCCTCCACCCCTCGCCCCCAAAAGAAATTTAAAAATTACCCGAAGCCTTGGAAAGAGACAAACTTTACAGAAAACTTCAACTGGTTCGATTCCCTTATCGACGAACAACGCGGCCAGAAATGCTACAAATACACAAAATTAATCACTTCACTTTTACATTAAAACCATTTGGTTTTGATTGACCTAATCAGTTAACCTATGTTTATGTAGGTTCGCACATTTAAGTATACTTGGTTACTTTTGCTTCGGTGGTAACTAGACATGTGAACTGACAGACTGAGACTATGTGCACACGGTAACGTTTCCGAGCGTTTCTAAAACGTCGTTTCCAATTTTGTCAGTTTGTCGCTCTGTCCACACGGAAACGTTTTCACGAGATGCAAATGTTTGTCTCGATAAAAATTCCATCTCTAGCGGCTTGTTATTGCCATTCATTTTCCACCAGATAAAGTCATTACTTGTCAACGAGTTTCTTAAAATGTCCTCTGCTCATTATCATAAAGTAAACAGTTTTATATGTACTGTTTAGCATCACCGATACGAAGTCTGTCGCTTCTTCGAAAGCAAACCGCATTTTAAATCGTTCATAAATCATTATACATTTGAAAGGCTATATATTTTGTTTTATTTGTTGCTAAAGTTTTTAACTTAAGAATTAATGATCCAATGAAAGATCTTAAGCTTCCAGGAAACAAAAATATAACATTTTGATTTTAAGCCGCCATCTGGGATTTTTAGCGTTTCAACGTGAAAACGCTTGTCCGAAAACGTTTTTAGCATTGAGAACGTTTTCGTCATAAGATGACGTTTTCATCCGTTTTCGTGTGGACACGGCTTGAAAACGACACTTTTTGAAAACGTTACAGCTGAAAACGCTCGAAAACGTTACCGTGTGCACATAGTCTGATTAGAAAGCTTAAGCAAGCGACGTTTCTCACAACACGGACGCCAAACTAGAAGTCAATCGAGACGTTATACTTGGCGAGTGATGGCGTCAGCAATTCTTGCTGAAATCAAGAATGGCAGTCAGTGGGAAGTTTCACGTTCGTGATTTCAAGAACTGTTGTCGCCATCAAAACCTGCTGTCGCCATCAAAACCTGCTGTCGCCATCAAAACCTGCTGTCGCCATCAAAACCTGCTGTCGCCATCAAAACCTGCTGTCGCCATCAAAAACTGCTGTCGCCATCAAAAACTGCTGTCGCCATCAAAACCTGCTGTCGCCATCAAAAACTGCTGTCGCCATCAAAAACTGCTGTCGCCATCAAAACCTGCTGTCGCCATCAAAACCTGCTGTCGCCATCAAAACCTGCTGTCGCCATCAAAAACTGCTGTCGCCATCAAAAACTGCTGTCGCCATCACGCCATCTATAACGGTTAGATTGACTTCCGGTTGGCGTAGTCTCGTAGGTGTTATCAAAAATGTCGCTTGCTTAGCTCTGTGTTACTGTACTTAACGTACCTTCAAACAAGTCAGACATGTGTTTTTGTCGTAACTTTGGCACACCCTAGATTATTGAAATGAATCATTAGGGGAGTTGTTGACATAGCCTGCGTGGCAGGCGGTTTTTCTACGGGCAGCGAAAATTATTCCTTTGCCTCCCTAATTTTCGCTGCCCGTAGAAAAACCGCCTGCCACGCAGGCTATTGTTGACACAGTGATACGTAGGTTATGCACAAGGCATGAAGGTTATACAGTATATACAGGGTGTCCCAAAAAAATGTGACACTATAGAAATTATCCTATTGTTATAATTTGAAGCATTCCTTCCAAGCAAAATAATTATTTGCAGGCCTGCAAGTGAATTGAACTTTTAATTACCAGGCGCACGAAATCCTGTGCTTAACAACAATAGGATAATTTCTATAGTGTCACTTTTTTGGGGGGACACCCTGTAGATAAATTTAGCTCAGTTTAGCTAATTACATACCGGTCCAACACCAAAGTGGACATGTTGATCTAGACCTATTTCACCAGCAATTTGAGCCTGGATGGCACGATTGACCAGCGAACTTCTTAACAACGTTAAATGTCCTTCATGATGCTCAGGAAAATGTCGATACAGATAATCCGTGACAACCCACTGAACTAGGGAATCTCCAAGCAACTCCATACGTTGGTTATTGCCTCTGAAACAAATAATTATACACATTTGCTGGTTGTGATGTTAAACTCGCGCGTGTCGTTAAACTAAAATTTTTTGACTTCCCAGAAAATATTTCCCCAAGAAAGAAAAAAAGATAATTGTAAAAATTTAGATAAAAAGAAAATTCTAACAAATAGAAGTTCCAAAGGTACAGTATGATCTCAGAAACGCAATTGTAAATGCCTCCATCTTAATAGTGCGATAGTGTTTTAAATGTTAAAGACTATAGAACGATGTAACAAATGGCAAATACATTTTTAGGCAATCTGGGCAATCTCAAATACTTACAGGGTCAAATTATTATATCCAACTTGTGGATGTGTAAAAGCTCTGGCCAAGAGCCGAATGTGCTTGAACTGGACGCCAATGGCTTCTTCGAGTTTTACAAGTCCCTGTGATAATCAAGATAGAAACACAAAAAAATTAATATTAAATGTTTGAAACTGAATTTGAAATTGAAAGAGAATTGGAAATTGAATTGGAAACATTAAATTCTGGTCACAGAGGCACATGCACTAAACACGGTTTCAATTTCCTTATAATATGGAAATAGCATGGATCTGCGTTGGAAATAGTAGGGAAATCTAATTTTCACACTAATTGCCATTTCCAAAACTATGGATATAGTATGCATGAAATAGTATGGGTATACTTTGGATTTCGTGATGCAATTGCATATTCCATAGTGTGGATTTCACTATTTTTTTCAGTGTTTTTTTTCCCAACACTGCGTATTGAACTTTACCTTGAGCACATCAGAGGAAGATATGAATGAACGATCCCCTTCAGGTTGCTGCTCCTAAAATTCAGATAAGAATTGTGAGACGCAATCACTTGTCTAACCGATTCCCTGTATTTAGTGGTCATTTATATATTAACCCATTGAATTGCACTTCTCCCCTTGACGAGTAAAATCGTCTGGGTTTAAACAGAGTAATATTGTCAGGAGTTAGACAGAGTAAAATAACAAATAGCCTACGTTGTTGTAGGTGAGTTGTGTGCTTGATTTACACAGTACAACTCAAGTTGTAAGCAGGTTGCATGTGACAGTTTTAGACAAAAGTTGTGGTAGTTTAAATTGGCCTTATGAAACATTGGTACTGACCTGCAGCGGATGGCGAGGTAGTGTACACCACAACTTACGGAGTTCCTGGAAAAAAGACTGAGCTTTAGAATCGAAATTCTCCGAAAAATACTAGTTTGTATAATGCACTTGTTCAAAGATAAAAGTAATGTTTAATTTACAAGAAATGTTGAATTTAAAAAAAATACAAACAGTACTCACGATTTCGTCAAAGGCAAGCTTACAAAATACTTTCTGGACAGTATTCACATTCGAGTCCAAATAAATAGCACCTGTGAATAAAATTAAGATGGAAATTTTAGGCAAAGTCAAACCCGATCCAACATCAGACAGCATTTTATAATATAGCATTTGTAAATTCTGAACGCTGATTGGCTAAAAGCCGTGTTGATGTCAACTCAATGTCAACACGCAAAATTTCTTTCTTTATATTTCTTTTAAGTTTTACAAGTTTCGCATGTGAGAAGAGTGCTTCCAGTTTGATACTGGTGTTACGATAAAGCCTCAGTCAAACGAGAACAAGAGTTGCATGAGAGTTGAGAAGCGAGAGTTTGCATGAGAGTTTTCTCAACTCTCCTGCCCCGGTCAAACGAGAACAAGAGTTACATGAGAGATGGTGAGAGTTGAGAAGTGAGAGTTTGCATGCGAGTTTTCTCAACTCTCATGCCCCGGTCAAACGAGAACAAGAGTTACATGAGAGATGGTGAGAGTTGAGAAGTGAGAGTTTGCATGCGAGTTTTCTCAACTCTCATGCCCCGGTCAAACGAGAACAAGAGTTACATGAGAGATGGTGAGAGTTGAGAAGTGAGAGTTTGCATGCGAGTTTTCTCAACTCTCATGCCCCGGTCAAACGAGAACAAGAGTTACATGAGAGATGGTGAGAGTTGAGAAGTGAGAGTTTGCATGCGAGTTTTCTCAACTCTCATGCCCCGGTCAAACGAGAACAAGAGTTACATGAGAGATGGTGAGAGTTGAGAAGTGAGAGTTTGCATGCGAGTTTTCTCAACTCTCATGCCCCGGTCAAACGAGAACAAGAGTTACATGAGAGATGGTGAGAGTTGAGAAGTGAGAGTTTGCATGCGAGTTTTCTCAACTCTCATGCCCCGGTCAAACGAGAACAAGAGTTACATGAGAGATGGTGAGAGTTGAGAAGTGAGAGTTTGCATGCGAGTTTTCTCAACTCTCATGCCCCGGTCAAACGAGAACAAGAGTTACATGAGAGATGGTGAGAGTTGAGAAGTGAGAGTTTGCATGCGAGTTTTCTCAACTCTCATGCCCCGGTCAAACGAGAACAAGAGTTACATGAGAGATGGTGAGAGTTGAGAAGTGAGAGTTTGCATGCGAGTTTTCTCAACTCTCATGCCCCGGTCA